ATACTCAAATAACTATCTTTGTATTTCTCTTTCATGTTACCTTTATTCAGCATTTGTGTATTTACATTGTGAGTTCTTCACAGCAAGGTCCACATTTCCATTCTTAACTATGTACAAATGTAGCATAGATCTTTGAGTATGGCTCTGAGATCTCATAGAAATAAGTGATTTTTGGTTAGTTATTCTAATGCTCCCTTTTCTATGAAAAATGTACAGGTGGATGAATGAATATTTTAGTTTCTGAGAATTTAGACCATTATCTGAAGAAAAAATTATATGATATCAAAAAATTGAAAGATACCTTAGTGATGATATTTGTTTTAAGGCTCCTGTTAAGACTTTAAGAACTCTATGACCATAAGTATAGCCAAGTCCAGCATTTAAGCTAATATTTCTTATGTTGCCAGCTTAAAATACATACTTAGCATAGGATCATATATAACAAACACAACTTTTTGATAACTCATCACTGCTTGAACAAGAAATAAAAACTGTTGATTTAAAATCGAAGGATGTTATGGCTGGACTATTTTGCCTGGAGATTTTTTTATTATTTTTGCAATAATATTTTTTAAAACCTCTGTCGAGTAAGTATTTGTCTGTTGCTTAATGCCATGTTTTATTTTCTTTTATATCCTATTAAAAAAAAGGAGCATTTTATACATTCTTGGGTTATTTTAATTGAAATTGGGTTTAATTTTCATAGGTGCAAGATCTCTGTGAAATACAGAATACTTGGTAAATGACAAAATATGCCCCAAAATTGAGTAAATATTTACTCAGCCTTTCAAAACTATTCTTCTGATGTTATCTCTGTGTTAGATTGCATGGAAGATAAATGTTGAGTTTTACTATTTGATTAATTTGACGAAGATCTCCAATTTACTCAAACTGTGAACTTTAAATATTTAGAGGTAGCATCATTGTAGACCAGTGGGGTGATAATCTGAAGCAGTAGCTCTTTCTGAAATATCGTGTGTTTACTGGTGCTTTGTGGAAGAAAATTAAAAGCAGACCTATGGAATTACCTTTTCTGCCCCCATCTCAAACAGATCAGATCAGTCTTAAAGGCTGGTTTGTTTTTTTTATTCAGAGCAGTGAGGAGAAAAAAGGTAAGAAACCAAGGAGTATGTCTTGTGTAGTTGTCCATGTATGGATAGTAATTGGGACAGAGAATACAAAGATATTAACAGCAATGTGTCTAATAATTATTGATGAATTGGGGAACAATAATGAATGAGGTACTTCAGAAAAATAAGTGATTCTGTCAGTAATGCTGTTCTTTTTTTCCACGGTCTTTTCCATTCTGACTCCTTTACGTAACTAAGCAGCCAGTGCTGAACTGAAGCATTTCTCAGAGCACTTCAGGAAAAGTCAGTGATTGTTGTCCATGACAGGTGGAAAAAGAAGAGTATTGAAAGAAGAGGCCTGACTTCCTTTAATACGGAAGAACCTTGCTTATTTTCTTTTTGATTTCAGTAAGCTTTGGCTTCCATTATAAGGCCCAGACCAGGTGCTTCCTATTGCCATTGGCACTGAATTCCAGTTACAGATCTTGGTTTGAGGAAAGTATCCAAGACTTCAGTGAGTCAGAGACAATGAGCATATCTCAGAAGGTGTTTACTTTACCAACACGTGTCAGAATAAAAGGAAGAAGAGCTGTGCAAATTCTGTCTCTCTCATGGCCTGTCAGCTTTTTTCATGATTAAATTGTACTTCCATGAGCCACAGTTCAGTCCTGCTCCTAAGTGTGTTGCCTGGGGCACAGACTCTCAAATGAGTTGCCTGAGAGAAACTAAAGTGTTACTTTGCAGTGTGATACTTGCTTAGGCATGGTAATTGCTAATCTGCGCAGTTGTATACTGCCCTTAATACAGAAGAGTTCCTCTTCTGGCTGCGTCAGCAAATTACTGTCAAAGGATGTTGTAAAAGTAAACATACCATCTTCTGTTCTACCTCTGCCTCTGTGAAAGTTTCTGTTCTCTGTTTGTTGTTTGGTGGCTCTTAAGCTCTCCTCACCATGAAGTTCAGTCGTCTTCTGTGGGTGGCTGTGCCTTACTTCTGCCCCCAACTGCTTCTCCACAAATCCTGGAGCAGCCTCAGTGTCATGGTTTAAGCATGTGGTTTAGTACATCACATCCCTCCTTCGACAGTCTTGTTGGAGAGTACATCCAAAAAGTTACCAATGAAAGGATTGGTACAGTTATTTGTGCAACACTGATTTATCCTTGTTTTGCTACTGCAAACTGAAACATTACAATTACATGAGTTGGCAGCATCTTTTTCTGTAGAGCCCCTGCCTCATGCAGTAAATGGTGTTCTAGCAAAGAATGGCCTTGCCAGTAGTTCTTTTTTTGTGCTATCATTTCCTCTGCTGTCTCTGCCCCCTCTCTGGGTTTTACTGAGCAGTTGCCAAAACTGAATGTAGATCTGTTGAATTTCCAGTGGTCTTCCATATGATTCCTTTATAACAAAGTGAGGGAATGTGGATAAAAGATAGTGCTAGTAAGAGTAATATAAAGGAGAATTAAGTGAGCTGGCCAAGCTGAGAGAGGCAGAACTTCTGCGTAATAATGTAAATATTTGTCAGCCTTCATAAAAGTAGTCACAAAGTTGTAGACCAGCTTGCTGCATTTGCTTTTTGCTGTGACTCTTGTATCTACATCTGTTCTAGTGGATAGATTTATGATTTTTCATAACATGTAAACAGATTACTTTCATGATGTGATCTCATACCATTTCTCATTTTGCTCTCTTTATTAAAACAGCTGGATGTTAATTTAGATCTTAAGTCATACACATTGTTGCTTGGAGTTTTTTGTTATGAGTTTGACAGTCTCTTTGTGATCCCTTTGAAGCATCATTCATGTCACAAACTGGTAGCAGTCATTCTTGCTGCGTTGCAATTTGCACAGGGAAATAATGTTGGTTTGTTGTTGTTGGTTTTTTGTTTGTTTGTTTGTTTTTCCATACCAGAACTCTGTTCTGTTACCTATTTGCTGTTCTCTACTAGGTGAGGCTGGACAATATTAAACTGATATATCTGTTCTGCCACTTCCTGCTTCTTCTCATGTTTTGAAATAGAATCGATGAGTGGGGGGGGGGGGGTGTATAGAAAAAAGGATAAAAGTTGTTATGTTAGTTGTTAGTGCCTATCTGAAAGGAGGAAGGCATTAGTGGTCTTTTTTTAAAGTAGTATTTTCATGATACTTTATATACTAACAACAAATGGTAATAAAGTAGGAGCAATATTGTTACACGTTACGTGGAATTGTGACTGGGTCAAATGGTGCCTTCATTTTAACGTCTTAGTTATCTCTTCTCAACTACTACCATCACCTGTTATATTTGTGATGTTTTCTTTCACTCGTTTAGTTCAGGCATGGCTCTGCTTTTGTTTGAAGGTATGTAATCCATAGCAGAGAGACTTTAACAGTAGCTGGTCATTGGCAAGAGAAGTGTGTTTTGGTAAGTAAGCAATTTCTCTAAATTTGTATCATCTTACTATAGAAGGCAATTTCTGCTTCAGAGTTCTGCAAGGGTTTACAAATTCTTAGTTTTCTGTCATTCTGGCAGATGGAATGGGGCTGCATGCATTTCCACCTTCCTCAATGAAAAGGAAATGCTAACCTTATCTATTGAGGCTCTGTTTGAATGGACAGGGAGAGGTGATTCTGCTCTTCTGGGGAATCCAGTTTAAAATCAACAGAACTCATGGGCAGGGCATCTCTCATCCTCCCGTCCTGGAGATGTGGGGCAAGGGGGCATGGCTAGGGGGCAGGAAGGGAGATCATTCTTCTCGTAGAGCAAGCTGGAGATTGGCTTGACCCGTCTCATCAAATTGCGCTCTAATGTAGGTGCTCTGAATCACTTCTGGAAGAGCCTACTTATGCCAGAATTATTCTGGAAGCTTAAGGAGGCTGTCCATCTAAATTATGTACCTAAAGTTAGACCCAGTAAGTACTCCCCTCTCACAGTCAAATCCTGCCTGCCTTTTTCTGTTTTTTTTTTTTTTTTCTTCACCTTAAACCAGTGCAGACTTAAAAGCCATGATTTACGTAGTTGAACGGGGTGGTTGTTGACCTGTAACTTAATATTCACTGTGAATCTGAACATCAGTATAATGTTGTTAAAATATCTGTAGTACTCTGCTTGCTTTCATATGAGAGGAATTTTTTTTAAGAATTAGAGGCTTTTCCGTGTTGCTCTTTAGTTCCAAATTTTTGGAAGCAATAACATACTCTGGGAATTTACCAGAACATTTCCTGAGGTAACCTTCTGTGGATTTGGTAAATAGTAGACTAAAGCTTATATAAATATAGTTTTATCTTATAAAATGCTGTTAGACCTTCAGGATAACAAGTAATTTGATAAACATATTAGCACTTGGTCTTTTATTCCAGATATAAACACTACATGTAAACTGTATTTAAAATGTTTTAAAACCATTTTATTAAGAGTCGTTAACCATTTTTGTTTTTCTGCATATGCATTTTAGAGGTGTGTTAATTCATGGCTTCTCATTTGCCACCTCATTTACTATTTCAGTTAAGCCACTGATAACAGACCAGTTGTAAATTGGGTTACTTTCATCATTTTTTTAATAAGGTTTAATAATTTTAAAATTCTAAATTGTGTTTACATTGCTATGATTGTAAATCCTATGTAGGTTTAATAACATTGCCGTCTTTGGGGGTGGATGGACATCAGCATCACATGCCGTTGTCTGTGTGAGGAAAAACTTGGCTCTTGTTACATTTGCACTGTGGTTGTTTGGTGCTGGGTCTGTTGATGAATGAATTTTGTGGCAGTTGGGGAGAAAAGTCTGCAAGTGATTCAGTGCTTAAATTGGGCTGCAGAGAAACTTGTGATGGCATGTACTGTTTGTATTGCACCATATAGGGCACGTATGTACGCAAATGATTTATCTATGTATTTAGAGTTTTGATGACCCCATTTAATTATTGCTCTAATTCTTGTGATGGATTATGTCTTCACAGGCACAGTTAGTTGATCTGAAGTCTGAACTGACAGAAACACAGGCAGAGAAAGCAGTATTGGAAAAGGAAGTGCATGATCAGCTTTTGCAACTCCATGCTGTTCAACTTCAGCTGCACGCCAAAACTGGTCAGAATGTTGATTCTGGGGCTATTAAGGCAAAACTGGTGAGTATGGTGGCTTGAATGGAGGATTATATTATACTTTTCCCTCTCCTGGCTGAAATCCTTCCTTGGAAGGTGCAAATAAGCAGGTTACAAATCTTCGCATTAAAAGTGTTAGAAAGTTACCTTTTTTGGGTTTATGTAACATTTATGGCTGGTTGTTAGCAATCATTAAAAATAACATAAACAACAGCAAAATAATGAATAAGAATTTAAGAAGCTGTTTTTGCAAAATCTTACTTTCTAGTGGCTTCTTTAGAAGAAAGTATTTTAGTGGTTTATAAAGCTTTTCTGGAGGCAGAAATTGCAAAAGATAATAACTTCCATTGTACAAATACAACCAAATACTCACATATCTCAAAAACCCTGAAGTGAGGTAAGCTTGTTGTTTTTCTTGCAGTTAGACTCTTGATAATAGTAAGAATGGGATTGTTTTGCCATACAGAGAGAGGGTAGATGGCATCACAGTCCTCTCTGTTGTCGTTCTTTCTCTTTGAGAATGCTGCAGATGCATCTACGGTGCTTTCCATTGCTACATGCAGCACCGTGATAAAAGAACTCAATAAACCAATTTTGTAAAGTATGGTTTTTAGAAACTTAAACTTCCACAAAGCCCACTAAAAGTTAAAAATAATTATTCTGTGCAGTTAGCTGTCATGACTGATAACCAGAGTGTAGTCTGCCTCATTACTATCCATAGCACAGATTCAACCTCTAATACTACTAAGATTTTATAAATTAGAGAAGTAAAGTAATGTGTAAATTGTGTTTTCTAACTGTTGGCATAAAGCAAAGTCTAGTTCTCTGGCTGTTTTTAGGATTGCTTCACAGGTTATTTGCAAATGTCTAGTCCCTACATATGTGGAATGTTAATCTCCTCTGCTATTTCGTGTTGTTGATGAATGTATAATAAAACACAGTGATAGACTATAAGGCTTAAAGGCTGTCTAGGCTACTCACTGAATAACAGGAGTAACCCAAATTCTTCCTGTTTCAAATCCAAGAGCTATGTTCCTCAGTGTACATAGTTGCTTATTCAGTATAAAAGTAACATTTTCTGCACATAATTTATTCTCTATTGAATTATACTTTAAGCATGATGAAGTTTCTTTAGGGCTGTTAATTTTTATGGCTCTGTAAATAACCTTTAGTTAAAGGTCACCAATATTTTCGAAGTTTTAGGCTGCAGGTTTATAAGTAGCAAGCTTTTTAAGCTGACGCATCCCTGTGAGTGTTTTTGGTCCCTAAATTTTGTTAGTGAGGCTTAATTTATAAATGACAGAGTATTACTCTTAACCTTTTTGCTTCTCTTTGCCTTGTTATAAACTATTTCTAAAGGTACGTTACATCTCCATGCTATTGCCAGCAGTCCTTTTCCCACAGGTGACTATAAACACATTGTACTTTTTAAAAATTTTCTGTGTTGCAGTTGAATTTTATTGACAGCCTAGAATGATACTCTCTCCTTTATTCCATTTAATTCCTTCTTTTTTATAAACATCAGGACTAATCTTTTGAATTTGCTTCACTTTGCATTCAGGGATTTCATGGGTTTAGTGGAGAAAAGCTCAGGTTTAAATTGTTTTAGATACAGAAAACTATAAAGGTCTGGAAAGCTTGGTCAAGCAAAATTGAGGCTGCTTAAATGACAATAAAATGGGAAGTTTGAGGTTTAGGTAAATAAAAACTGTCATGCTGACCTTCTGGAAGTCAGAAAGCCTCTGAGGGCAAATAAGAACTATGTCAACAGAATGTGCAATGGGGAAATGAAGTTCTGTACTAGTTAACTTCTTGCTTTCTTCGTTAAAGACAACCACTCTTCTTGTGTATGGTGGCTCCCAGCATACATGTGTACTCTACAAACTGTAAAATGTGCCTAGTGGTGAACAAAGACACATTTAAATGTTTTGAATTGTTAAGCAATTGATAACATATAGTTGAGGCCAAATCCCCTTTTAGGAGTGTTGAGTCCAATCACAGTGATTCTTTCGTTGTTACAGTATGAAGTTGCATAGTTGAAACTTTTTCTTGAGTTTGGTAGATTATAAGTCTCTGTTGCTACTTCTTTCTGTCCTTTATGTTCCTTTTGTAACATGTATTTTGTTATCCTTTCTAAATGGGAAAAGTCAATTATCTGTATAACAGATGTTATATTAAAGAATGTATTTTCTATGATCCTGTCAAAACTGCTTTCATGAATTTTGCATTAACTTGCTATTCTTTATAAAGCTTCTTGGTATTTTAGGAGAAAGTGTTGTTTTCGCTACTACAATAAAGTTTAAAATATTTATTAAGATTTTTAGTAACTTTAACTGCAAAATACCAAAATTCTGCTAAGTACAATTATAACAATGTGCTTGTTCTTTATGGCTTCTAATAAAATAAAAAGTCTGCAGGTAAATTTCTTTTGGAGAAAGTAACTTACGTTTAATTTGCTTGAAGTTCCTATTGCCTGTTTCTCTAATTATGGAACTGTTTTCTTCTGTCTTAAGTCTGTCCTTTCTGTGGATGAAATAGTAAGTATTCTAATTGCCCTTTTTTTGTGTGTGTGTTTTAAGCAGTCCTTTTGTGCAGCAACTTTATATATATATATGTTGGCCTAGAAACTTGCAAAGCAGATTCGACTTGTTCCCTCTTCCTGTGAGTTGGCAAGATGCCATGTAATGATTTTTCTTTGCATTTTTAGGTTTTCTTTTCTGGTTTTGGTGCCCTCTTTCCTAAGTCTGTATGTGTTATTTATTATTGTAACAGCTAATTTGGGGTGATATCTGCAACTTGTCATTCTGAAAGACTGTTCTGGCACTGTCTCAAAAATGTTAAGGTGTTATACAATTTCTAAAGCATAAGCACTGTACACATTTATCAATGTAGCATGGAGTATTGTGTTTGTTGTACTTAAAAAAACTTCCTGTCAGCCTTTCCTTGTTTTCCCTTTTCTCATTCTTCTAACGGGCATGATTAAAATGATTTACTGGCTTGTGTAATAGCCCAAAGCATATAAACACAGTAATATATAGATAAGAAGAAAAAGTGAAGTAATGTTAACTTTTATCTTTCAGTCTTTCATAGCAATAGACGTAGAGCTTTTTCAAACAGCTTTTCCATTTTTATTACATTATATACCTCATTATCATCAGTCAGTATTTGCTCATTGAAAAGCCATGGGACAGCTGGTAGCTGTAAGCTTTGATCTTCAACACTGCAGTTGCAGTTTTGGTTTAGTGGTTGGGGGTTGTTGTTTTGTGGGATTTTTTTTTAATATTACTAATGGAAAATATATTTCTATTTTGCAGAACCTATGCAATTCTATGAACACTAGAAAGTATAAAACTGTTCTGTAGCTTCCTCAAGTTTTTAAACATTTTTGAGACTTTTGACACATCTCATGATCATTGTTCAAGACAAGTTCTTTCAGTACATCTTCAGAGATTCTGTATAGCAGACCTCTTGATTTTTTTAATCCATGTGGTGATCAGTTGGAGGCAGGCTAGAGAAGAATGGCTTCTGGGTGTAATTTTCCACCTCGATTGCAGAACAACAGTCAGTAATTGAGAAAATAGGAAGAAAACAATTATATGGTGTTATGTTGTTCCTCATATTTTAGGTACAACATTTAAGATACATAACTAAAAATGAATCTTCTTAGAAATGTAACATTTGACTTTTGGTTTAAATATAATTTAAATTACAAACCAAATTCTGAGAAAATCGGTGGGAAATTTCAGCTTGCTTAAAGTGTGCTTTTAGTGGTGGGATTTTATAAAGTTGGATTTTTGGAGGTTTTACGTGGTTTGGTTTTTGTTTATTTTCAAACAGTAATTTTGCACTGATTTTTCATTTAATTATGTTTGTTAGGATGGGAATCTCCATGTGTAGAATCTCTGGCTTTCTTTTTGTGGTATTCAGACTAATTTGGAAATGTCCCTGGCTGGGCACATCTTGGGTTTTTTGCATGGAAATAATTGTAAGTTTAAAGACACATGGACTTAACAGAACATTTCCTTCATGTTGTAGTAAAATCTTATTAAAATAGTTAAATTTAGTGGGTTTGTAGTTACATTTTAATGGTAAAAATAATTTATTTTTTTTTTTATGAATCTGCCATTTAAACACAGGAGAAAGTAAGGATGATGTTCAGGCTACTTAAATTTTGTCACCTTTCTGTGACAGGGGGAAACATTGTTGCTCATTTTCATCCATGGACCTTGAACGTTTTGTGCTAAGGAGCTGTAGCTGGATAGAAATCATGCCAGGAGCATAAAGTTAAATGCAGACCACTAGCTGCAGTGCCAGAGTTGTTGCTTGCATTTCTTTTCCTGCATGCATGTCTTGAATGGAGGAGAATGTGTGTTCAGAAACAGTGAGTGTTCTTTCATTAGCTTTAATGAAAGCTTTTTGACATGTTTTTTCTTTTGCCTTTTTTTTTTTCCTTTCTTTTTTTTTTTGGTAAAGGAGAGAGAGCTTGAAGCCAACAAGAAAGAAAAAGTAAAAGAAGCTCAGCTAGAAGCTGAGGTGAAGTTGCTGAGGAAGGAAAATGAAGCACTTCGTAGACACATAGCTGTGCTTCAGGCTGAGGTTTATGGAGCAAGATTGGCAGCCAAGTATTTAGATAAGGAACTAGCTGGAAGGTATGTGAAGTCAATCCATGTCCCTTAGCATGAGATTTTTCTTGTTGTTTTCTTCCGTTGCATTCCCAAAGGCATTTCCAGTGTTAAGACCACGTAGGAAAAGACGTTTGCAGTTAACTGAACAAGCTCTTGCACTTACGCTAGTTGCTGCGTGACTGTGTGCTCTAGCCAGATGAAGTGTATGAGTTGTACAATGCATTGCTTTTTCAGTTGTAATACAGCTTGTTGTTTTACTCTGCTTTTCATTATGAAGGGTCCAGCAGATTCAGTTACTGGGCCGAGATATGAAAGGACCTGCTCATGACAAGCTCTGGAATCAGCTTGAAGCAGAAATACACCTTCACCGGCACAAAACTGTTATTAGAGCTTGTAGAGGTCGGAATGATCTAAAACGACCAATGCAGGCACCACCAGGACATGTAAGTTGAAATGATAAGCCATTCCTTTGTAATTTCCAGCATCTGTGGAAAATGAACGAGAGTTATTTTTTAATTTTTGTGATTATTCTTACTTCAATATTATGTTCTTTCAAATTTCACTTCTGAATATACGGTTCTTTTGTATGCTGAAGGATACAAAAAGTATGGTGATCACATGCTAAATAACATGTCACCATAAGTGACCACGAGAGATGATACAATTTTTTTGACTTACCTAGGAACACTCAGTCCTTTTGAAAACTGAGCCTCTGCTATGTGTGTGTTTAAATGTGGATTTAACAGCATAATTTTGTTACCTCAGTTTCAAAATGTGGAGCTAACTTGTTTACAAAAACTAAAAATAACAGCAACTTTAGGATTAGATTGAACTGAAATTAATTTTTAAAAATGTCTTTACAGGCCATATAAATGACATTCTGTAAAAGAACTGATTTTTCTTTCTTCCCCCTCCAAAAGTTACTTTATAAATAAAACCTTTAAAAGGCATTTCATTGTGGGTAGCTTTGCTAGAACTTGCCCAGTTAATCACCCCAGTGTTCAGTTCATAAAACCAGAAATTTTCAGAGAAGTGCTTTACTTTGAGCTATTGTAAATACTTTAGTCAGATGCATCTCACTGCTTATGTTGTTGATTGCATATAAAATATTGGTGGACAAACGCGTATGGGTGATTTGAAGGGTACGCATAATGGTGTAGTAGCTTAACAAAATGAATACCTTAATTTATTTAGTCTCTTTGTTTTGAGTTGAATGGGTCTGTATGGTTCATAATAATAAAAATAAACTTGAACAAGCAACCTCTTCTTTGGGACTGTCTTACATCATCTTCTATAATTTGGTTAGTTTTAAATGCCAGTTTAGATAACAAGTTTTCAGCAGTGATCAGCATTCTTTCATGTAGTCCCTTTATACTTTTAATATATGGCTGATTTCTTTCTTTTTAAGTTAAGTTCTGTGTTGTGCATCACTCAGCACTGAAATAGTTGAAATAATTTTTCTCATCAGGAGTGCATAGTGAGGCATCTTTTCTGATTTCATATCCTGTTTGCAAAGGGGGACTATAAATTTGTCCTGCCTGAAACTAGTCTAAAACTCTGTTGTGGGTACACTGTCTGTATATAATTTAAGAAATAAAAATGCAGAAATGAACTTTTGGTTCACATGTTTGTATTTCTGCTATGCTTATTTTTTATTGAACTAGGATCCTGATGCCTTAAAGAAGAGTCAAGGTGTTGGTCCAATCAGAAAAGTTTTGCTAGTTAAAGAAGACCATGAAGGACTAGGAATTTCTATCACAGTAAATACTTGCATTTATTTTCTGTGACACATAAGAAGCAATTTAAAATTTATTTGCACTGCTGTAACATACTGGATCAGTTAATGTATTGTTAGAATGTATGAAAAAGAGCATATGCAAATCCATAGCTATGGTCATAGGACTTGCAGACTCATTTTGATAGATCAGGAAATAGGTAACTGCTATTTTATGTAAAACCTAAGATTTCAACTCATGTTTAGGATGTAGACACTTCAGCAAATTAGCCAGTGGTGAATTTCAGGTGTGGTAAGTCAGTAGAAGAACAGAAACAATCTGAGAATTAAATTCCAAATTTTGAAAATTCTATTATGCTGTTATTCTAAATATGAATATTGTTTCTTGCAAGTAAATATGGTTCCTGATATACTTTTAAAATGAGGTTTTGATGTTGTCTCATCAGCTTGTATGTGACTTGATACATTTATTAATTTTTTCAATTGTCTCCTTTGACTCTGAATTTGAAATTTGTCCATTCTTTTTGGGGGGGAAAGAATTCAGGGAAGCGTTCTCTTTCTCTGTATGCTTTCTCATTTTCTATAATAAAAGTTGAAATAAGCACTTTAAGAGCAACTACCAGAATGATGATTTTATGCTAATGGATATCTCAGTTAATTAAAATATACTTTTTTGTTTTTTCCCAATAGGGTGGCAAGGAGCATGGTGTTCCAATACTGATCTCTGAAATCCATCCTGGACAACCTGCTGATCGATGTGGAGGGCTGCATGTTGGTGATGCTATTCTGGCAGTAAATGGAGTTAATCTAAGAGATGCCAAACATAAAGAAGCTGTAACTATTCTTTCCCAACAGGTCAGTTGAGACCTGTTATCCATAGACACATTTAGGTGCTTCCTGTGTTCTATTGAATTATTTCGAGCTTTAATGCTTTCTGATAAGCACAGTGTGATGCTAAGCTGCAGTAATTCCTGAAGCTGCATCGCCTAATACTTAACCCTCTTATGTCTTGCAATTTAAGGAGAAAAGTGCTGGGTCAGTACTGGTCCGGTTAAACGGATGTACTGGCTAATGATTCTTCAGTAAGGTGATGGAAATCATCTTGTTACATTGCCCCACAGAAATAATTAGTGGTAAACTTTTTATTCTTTTATGACTAGATAGCTCCAGCTAAACCTCATATACTTTGTAGTCTAGAATCTTCTTCCTGCCTTCCTTCCCATTTTCAGACAGTTAACAGGTGCCAGACAGTTAGTTATCAGAAAACTTTTATTCGTTAGAAGTCACTGTTTGTAATGTATTGGCACATAACTGGGAAATTCAGGTAACTTTGGTAAATCTTAGCTATGGAGCTGTTCTTTAGTCAGTAAAAACTTAATTCAGATACATATCCAGAATATTCAACACAACTGTAAATATCTTTACAACAGTGAAATTTATTTGTTTAGTAACCTAGCTCATCTCAGTAATGCTATTATATAGCTGTGAAGTAGTAAGTAAATCTGTAACTTTTGTCTTATTTTAGAGAGGTGAGATTGAATTTGAAGTAGTGTATGTTGCTCCAGAAGTTGATTCAGATGATGAAAATGTAGAATATGAAGATGAGAGTGGACACCGTTATCGTTTGTATCTTGATGAATTAGAAGAAGGTGCACATTCAAGTTCTAATAGGAAAGATGCAAATGTGGATGTCAAACCCTCACAAGGTAAACATTCTAAAATCTGTTACATGCAGTTTAATTCTGAAGTGTCAATATTTATTGTAAAATTAATCTACTGTTAATTCAGTTAACCTACTCATAGGGTGTCAGCTCTTTTAGATGATTCCTCATTTATTGGCCTGGTTTACTTAGACATAACTAACTTAACTGAATTGATTTGTGTGGATTTTTTTCTTGATCAGCTTTTCCCAAAGGTTGCAATTCAGATCTGTTCTTACCTTTTCCTGACTCTTGGCTAGGAATAGTCAATTCCCTGACGCTTTCTGCTGTTTCTTCAAATGCATGTTTTAGATCAGAGAAGTATGAAACAGTTCCTGTTTTCCTGTCATACTATGTTCTGCTAAAAACCTATTAGTTCTTATGTGGTCATTTCATTAGTTTTTAGTGGTCATTTTCACTTTCTAGTTTCTGTGCTCACTGATATGTCACTCACAAGATTGCTTCTCTTCCTTAAATAAAACTTCTTTTAAATTGCAGTGTTTGATAAGAAGCCAAGTATTGATGGACATGAAAATGGAGACCTGAGGAATTCAGTTGAAGCTCCATTAGAAGACACTGCACCCAAGTTGCCCTGTTCTGCTGAGTCTTTATCCTAAAAACAAACAGACAAAAAAAAACAACTGGACAGATCCTGTCTTCGGGAACAATTGATAATCAGTATTGACTGCTCCAAGATGCTTATACTAGTGTAGGTTGTAAAAGGATGATTAAATGTCAAAAGGAACTGTATTACTGTTGCCTGGAAAAAAGGCGGTTACCTCAGGGCTTCATTGTGAGCAATTCTAAATGTGGAAAACTGTCTTTTGCGTGACACACAGTAGTTATCTAACACATGGCATGTGAAATGAATTTTCTTTTAATAATAAGCACCAAAGCATGGGATTTCTAAAAAGGGTAACTTGAATACGTTCAACTTTTGATCTCACTGATGTCCCCAGGGAAGCAGAATATGATGTGGACAGCTTCGTTTTGACCCTTTCATCCTTTAAAGGGACAGGTGATGTTTAGTTTGGTGTGAAACAAGCTTTAACTCTAGAAGGACGGAGGAGGGGGAAGTGTACCATTGCGTCTATGAATACTGTACTTAGGATTTTTGAACTGTAACTTTTAAAAGTAAGGTTTTTTTTAATTTCTCAGAACAGTAAAAACCAGAGCTTTTACTTGAGCAAAGACCATCAAAACCCAAATGGGACAGTGGAATACTTGCTAATCGTCATCCTTCAGCCCATGATCATTTTATATGTGAGATTTTTGGCATTGTTGTTTTAATGAATTCACTGCCAATTGTTCCATTTGAAACATGCTCTGGAAGTATTTAAAGAGGGTATTGTGGGATTTTAAAAGCAAAATTAGTTTTGAAATGCTCACAATTATGTGGGCCCTTTTGGTATTTTTTCTTTTCCCCGAGCATCATCAATTTAGCATTCATTAGTATACCATAGTATGGTTACTGCTAATGCAGAGTGGTTTGAGTTGGTCATCATTAGCCTGACCTTATGAAATGCTGAGTGCTTTTGATGGGTACTGAACATACTTATTTCACATTAAAATAATCTTTAAAGAACTGAAAGTTGAGTACACAGTACTTCACAGGAGGTGCTCAGAATCTGTCGGTGTCTGGCCCTATCTGTGTTATGTTACAGCAGTCATATTAACCTATAATTGTCTTACTGTTGAAACAAAGCGTTACTTCTTTTGTAAGAGCAGTGTATCTTAAAATAGCTTTTAATTGGTGTACATCTAAAGGCCCTCAGCGTGGCTGCAAATGGGAATGTTGAGGATGGTTTTCTTGGCCAGTTTCACATACTCCATTTGTAGATCTTTTGGGAAAGTACAGCACTCTCCATGTGCAAGCTCTACATTGTAATCACATTTATTATTTCAGCATGCAATGCCAGCTTTCCTGTTCACTGCTCTGCAGGCTGTTGAACTGTAATGTGAAAAGATTTTGTACATTGAGAGAGGAACTAATGTGAAAAGACATCTTTGTAAGTGTTACTGTGTAGGATGTACATACATAAGAAAAAACCTCAGAGGCCTTTAGAGTAACATCAACTAATCTTATGTTCTAAGTTGTGATGTAGAACACGGTTACTTGTCTCTCCTAGGAGCACTATATATATGTTTATAGAAAAAGCTGAAAAAATGTATATACTTTATTCAAAGATTTTGCTATTTATAAATCCCTTAACTTGGCTATTTACATGATCATTTTGTGTGTGTGTGTCTGCGTGTGTGTGCGTGCATGAGTTCCACTTACTCAGTGGAATAACATTATTTGGTTCACTTTTTATAATAGTCTATGTCATACAGCATACTGTTGGAGGTTTTTAAAATAGTCAAAGCTGTACAGTTTTCACCAAACAGAAACTAGTATTTAAAAATAAAACTGTGTGAAGAAGAAACAAGTCCTCAGGCATGTTTCTTTTTCTGAAGCTTCAGAAACTTGAGGACACGTTGCTGTGTGTTAGCAGTTGAATCTACTGCCATAGCTCTGCATCCAGGTTTGTGTTTTTCCCACAGCTGTTCAAGCAGAATTCACTCTGAAACTGTCTGTGGCCTGGAACACCCAATGTCCTCTCTGTCAGAAAGGATTGTTCAAAGCTGAGTAGTCTTGTCTTTGAAAATCACTGCTGTATGAAATCTTCCTGCAGTTGTAAGGAATGAGTCTGTCCAATTAGTCTGGCTCTAAATTTGCCTGTACAGTTTCCCTTTATTTGAGGGAAAGGTGAAATTTTAAATTTATTTGTTCTTCCTTTTGTCTTTGGCACAACTTATTTTCAACTTAATACTCTTGATCAGTTTTAGGCTGAAATGGGAGAGTGTTTCTACAGTTGTTTTCCTAACATTCCTCGTCCACCAGTTTCTCATCATGCTGTGCTCTTTTCTTCATCTTATGAAAGTTGCTGGACCCTTTATCTGCTCTTATCCTGCCTATGTTTAACCTTTATATCAGATCAACAGAAGGAACAGTTGCTGAAGAGAATGACTAGGAATAGATTAATCAGGTAGCAGTAAATTATCACCAGATCTCCTTCCTTGCAGTTTTTGTAATCTTTGTTTAGAAAGCCCTTAATGGAAGGATTTTGCTCAGACACTACAGTCTCTCCTACTAGCTGATTTAACATGCTGGTTTGTTGTAGACATACTGAGATACTTAGAGATTAATATTTAAACTGAAAAAAAAGTCTTGCAAACTGGAATTTCCAGATTCAATAGGCAAATTAGTATTTTCCCCTTAGCCAGTAACTGGGAGACCCAGTCCTGCTGATTCCCAGGGGTTGAATGGAGTTGGAAAAATTTCTGAGGAAAGTCAATACTCAGACTTCATTTTTATTTTTTAAAGTGTAAAACGGTTTACTTGTGTGTGTATATATACTTTTTTTTTTTTAAATAATGTTCTGAAGAGAATTTTGCAGGGTGTTTTTTTTTTTTAGTAGATAATTTCTTGACTATTATAAAAATCTTCAGTGAGACAGTTGTATTTTAAGCTAAAGGTGGACAGTGTTGGCATCTAGGACCAATGTTAATTAAAAGCATGTAAGTTAAGGAAAGTGCTTTATGGCAATAAATTTAACTCTGATCAAAGGCTGTATGTAGTATTTTCTTTGTAGAATTGTATTCCTGGAAGAGAAGATAGTTTGTATCTGTCTCAATATATATTAATCTGCAGTTGTATCAAGCAAAATTGAGGTATTTATTGTATCTGTCCAAATGTTACTGCATCATGGATTACTCTTTTCTGTAGCAGATAGAAAATTTTGCAATTAATGTATACATCTTGTTGAGCTGAATATAATATATTTTTTATTAGCCTGTAAATAAATATACTCTTCTTCATTGCAGTGATTTCTGCACCTAATTCAGACTGTTACTTAATTTTCTTCCGGTTTGATATATAAAATACAGACACCCATCTCTGTTTGTTTTCTCTTAAGCATGTAGTCCATACCCGCCCAAAAAGCTAATATGAGGGAAAACAGAAACTACATAACACGAATTTTGACACTAATCCAGTATTGGCCAGCAATGGTTAGTAGCAGATTTTTAAAGAAGCTGAGGTTCTAGGACATGTCCCAGATTTCACTGAGATGCATTTTCTGATGCATGTTTTTCAGTAAAAGAGAAAAAATGAAGTATTTGCAGTGTTTGGCTGTATAATAATACCAGATATATTGTGAAACCTTGGACTAAGAAGAGCTGTAAAGACCCAGACCTGTCAAAGGATTAAGTCATTTGGGTAAAATTGTGGAAACTGCCTTCCCCCCAGCTCCCCCCCCCCATCTTTTGTTTGGTTTTTTTCCATGCATTAGGAATAACTATATTCTGAGTTTTCCAACTAAGCTACAAAAAAAATCCTTCAACTTAGATTTTTATTTTTTTTTTTTAGTCCTGATGGTAAAGTCTTTTTAATTCAGTTTGTTTTGTGTCTCAAATTATATTTTTAAAAACTAACCTCTCACGAGTATTTGAGTGGTCATCTTTCCCTACAGCATCAGGTTCATCTGGATGAATAGAGAGCTCAAATGAAAGGTAATGGCATGGTAACTGTGGTAGTAGTATAATTACAGTAGTACTTAAGGGTTTATTGAGAATGTGTAAATAGAGAGTAGAAGAGTGTGAGGATTGGACTGTCTCAATAGACAAGGCTGATTCATGCTGGATGAAAAGATGTACACAATTGGTGAGGGCTAGAGCTGCAAGTACTTATTTTTTAGCTCTAAAATTTTCAGAAGGGTTAGACATGAGTGACTTCAGCAGATGGAAGGAAGAGGGAATGGGAAGAAAACTTTAACTGTCACAAAACAAGCAGAGGATTAGAGGCAACTATGAATGAAGATGAAAACAGACGGGAAGAGGAGAAAAAAAGAATTTTCTTTATGTCAGCTGGGGTCAAGGAAGATAATTCCGAATTTCTTTGTGTCCCAGTACCCGACTGAAAGACCTCAGTGGCTGCTCCCAGTGACCACGGTCACAGAGTAATCTGCTTTTTTTTTTCCCCATGATTTACACATGATAGAAAAGAGGAACACATCCTGAGCTAAGTTATGTGTAAGGAGTCCATTTTTGCCAGTTAAAATGTCAGATTAATGACATGAAAAGAAAATCACCTAAAATATTTTGTGCTACCTTTTTGTCCAGAGCGTGTCTTTTCCAATACAATGTGATTTCACATCTTCAGAAACTTCTTCAGAAGTTTCACAGCTGGAAGGAAACCCAGGAGTTCAGAAGTGGTGAATTGACTTGGAAGGAAAAGTACTTCTTTAATTACTCTTTTCTCAACAGGTCAGTTATTGCTTCTCATGTTTCAGAGACCTTACCTGTGTTTGCCTCGTGTATCCCTGCTGCAAATGTACTTTGGTATCTGCTCCTGACACCCTCATCTGTCCTGTGTGGGGGACAAATGGGGCTTCTGAGCTGAGTAAGGCCCAAGTGGTATATTTCAAGGGTTTTCCCTTTATAAGGGATAATTGAAGCCACTTGGGTGGATTTTCCACACACGAGTGTTTAAGTCCATCACCCATCACAATTATTTGGTGTCTCTGTCAGCCTCCTGCTCAGTGTGCCAAGACTTATTTCTCCCAGGTGTCCCAACGATTGGAGCATTGGAGCTGCCAGTGTTTTGAAGGTTCTGCAGGAATGTGCTCTTCCAGTCCCCTGTGACAGGTATGCTAGAAGGGCATCGAGCCCTGAAGAAGAATCCAGGAAAACTGGTTAAAATTGTGCTGTTTTTTCTCTGTAACTTCTGCTTTAGGTTATGATCGCATTTCCCTCATGTTTTTGCACTCTGTATTTCTGTAAATCTCCTTCTTGAAATGCAAAAGCACTGCTCCTCTGAGCTCCAGCCTGAGCCATTTCCCTAGATTCCCCTCTGTCAGCTGTGGGGCCACCAGCCCTCTGCTGCCTTTCCAATGCTGGATCTCAAACAGGAGGTGAGGGAAATGTAAAAACAGAGTAAAGTGAGAGTATAGGCATTCACAGACATGTTTGGATTGCCCGTACTGCTGGAAACCAGGGGTGCTTGGGAAGCATCTGGTAACTTAGGTTAAATTGCAAGTCTTCAAATGCTTAACAAATACATATGTAAATCTCTGTAAATCCTGCTGATTACATCTGCATTGTCTTATTGGCTGTCTAAATATTTGCACAAATACTACTTCTGTAAAATGGAATAAACCAGATTGGCATGTTTGGCTTTTTTAAATGATACTTTATCTGCTGCTGTCCAGTGTGTATGTTTGTTACCAATTTCTTTAAGGGAATGGAAGCATTAAGTCATGCTGCTGAACTGGAGCAGCTCTGCATTCGATCCACTGGCCTTATGCTGCTGGGAATGTCATTGCCCTGAATGCTTTTCCTTCAGACATGAAGGGGTGTTCCTGTTCACTTCTCTGTGAAGGAACTGGGTGTTCCCTGTTGCAACAACCAGTAGTGAGTTTGCCACTGTTGACCCTTTCTCGGCTAAAGGCAGGGGAAGAAGGCTGCTGTGGGTTGCCCATGCCAATCCTTTTATAGGATAAGAGCCTTTAGGTTATGTCCACAAAGGCATCAGTTCCTCTTGATTTAATTTATAATTTACATGGTTATTTATGGCTCCATGGGAAGGGATTCCCAGGGGGTGCTGCGGCTTAAACTCTGCAGTGGGTATGTACATCAGCTGCTGGTTGGCAGCTTTGGGCTTGGAACTAAGGAATGGGCTTTTATGTAAGATAAGTGGGGATTTCTGTATAGCTGTCCAGTGAGTGTTACTGCACAGCTTCCTACTT